CCCAAGGTAAACCGTTTCGTTTCCCGAATTATCGCCGAACACAGAGCTGAGAATAGGGAGAAAACCCAAGATTTTGTCGATGTTCTGCTGTCTCTTCAAGGCGCCGACAAATTATCCGACGCCGACATGATCGCCGTCCTCTGGGTAAGTATCCCTTAGTTTTGAGAAAAATGTCATAATACAATTTCTCAGTAAAAGACAATAATCTGTTTTTAGTACTTAGTTGGGGTTGCTAAATTTGCCAAACCTTTTTTTACTTTTAATATCTATAAACGGAATTTGAAACTCCATACCTCTAAATTTATATAAAAAATTCTTAATAAAAAAATAGTAACTACTAAATTAATAAGAGGTCTCAAATTTGCCAAACTTGTTAATTGTAAATTTTTTTTCTTTTCTTTCATTTGTAGGAAATGACATTTAGGGGAACTGATACCGTGGCGGTTACAATCGAGTGGATACTAGCTAGAATGGTGCTTCATCCTGAGGTTCAGTCAAGGGTCCATGATGAGCTTGATAAAGTCGTTGGAAGATCAAGAGCCGTTGAAGAGTCTGATATCACAGCGATGGTGTACCTTCCTGCTGTGATCAAGGAAGTTCTGAGGCTTCACCCGCCAGGCCCACTCCTCTCGTGGGCCCGCTTAGCAATCAGCGATACTATCATTGATGGGTATCACGTTCCCGCAGGGACCACGGCAATGGTGAACATGTGGGCCATAACAAGGGACCCCGATGTGTGGACGGACCCACTTGAATTTATGCCCGATAGATTCGTGATTAAAGCTGGCGAGGTGGAGTTTTCTGTGCTGGGATCGGATCTTAGGCTGGCCCCTTTCGGATCGGGGAGACGTGCGTGCCCCGGTAAGAATTTGGGACTGGCAACTTTCAGCTTTTGGGTGGCGTCGCTTTTACACGAATTTGAATGGATCCCATCTGACTCGAACTCAGTTGACTTATCAGAGGTCTTGAAGCTATCATGTGAGATGGCTAATCCCCTCAGGGTTAAGGTGCGGCCCAGGCGTGGGTTAAACCGTAGTTATTAATATTAGTACTAAGATGTAGCTTGCCTTGGATAAACCGCATTTTACCTTTCCGTAGTTATTAATAAATCCTAGATACTAGTGCTGTCCCCCTATAATTCTAGTTTGTGCTGTACTGTTCAGGTATCGGGGTTTTGGGTTTTGATTTTATATTTTGTGTTCTTTTTTTTTTTTTTTTTTTTTTTTTTGGTGAAATAATTTTGTGTTCTTTAGCTGCTGTGGGTAAAGGGAAACGCGTTGTAAATATATGATTCCGTTGCCCAAGCTTTATTTAACTGCCCTAGTGTGAAATTTTGCTTTATCTTCAATGAACTAATGTTTTCTGTTTTGTCACTTCTGTGCATATTGCTCCCTATTTTTTTTTTTTTGGTTTCTCACCCGGTATCCGGGGTTTCGCCTCGACTACTCCGGACTCGACCAGCTGTGGCGCATCAGAATGGTGGATGGGTCTCCCAACAAAAGCTGCTGCGTACACAAGATCTCAAACTCGAGATTTTACTTAAGCTGGAACAAGTCGTTTGCCACTTAATCCAACCCCTCGTTGGTTATATTGCTCCCTGTCTATTTGGTACACGATTTAACCGTTTATGTATATATATATATGAATCTGACCCATATAAATAATGTTTATATTACAGAAAAGTTAGTGCTTTAACTTTATATATTGTAGTTTGTAAGAATTTTCATTAACTGTAAATACTAACTGTGATATATACAAAAGCAAGTCTTGGAGTTCGTCACTGGGGACGTAAGATCCAGACATCATTGTTAGCGTAGGAAGATTTTTGAAACAGATATGCCACAGAGGATCCATTGAGATATTACAACCTGTATCGCAAATATAAATTTGGAACATCTTGTCATTTTATCAACAACAATTTCTAAGAAATTTTTTTTATAATAAAAAAATGAAAAATTATACATACACCCAAACAATCAACGCTCATCTCAACACCCAAGGTAAAAATGAGAATGGATAAATTTGTAATTTTACTGTTCATAAACCTTGAGTGTTGAGATGGGTGTTGATTGTTTGGGTGTATATATAATTATCCTAAAAAAGTATTATGCATTTTATGTTACACAATTTAAACTATTAAATAGATGTATTTTTTCTAATAATAAAAGTTTTATAATATCTAATAATTTTTATTTTACATTTTAATGTGAAGAACTCAACTTTCTATATAGCAGTTTGCCTCTAAAGTCCAAACAATCCAAGCCTTAAGGCATCCTTAATTAAGACCTTTACGTTTGGTTTCCAGATAGACCATGCATTTCCGTAGAGATCTTTTTTCTTTCTTGAATTTTCTCCATCAGTCTTGTATTTTTCCATCAACATAAATGTCCTGATCAGAGTGTTTCCATCCTGTACATTATATACCACTACTTAATATTCATTGTTCAGTAAGTTTCTCAGCTCTTTCTTGATCACGATGTCCAAGCACTCGACCTTCGTCACGATTCATGGTGGCTAAAAAAAACAACCAACCTGATGCACTATTGGTGCTGCAGCCGTGGCTTTAAAATTAGATATCCATATATACTAGTTCTGATCAACTCAACCATGGTAGCCTCTCTCTATCACATAACAATCAACAACATTAAATATTATGTTCCTTCTTTCTCGGAAAAAGGATAAACATCCTGATTTATGTTCTGTTTATTATGGTTAATCAATCTTAGTTACTTATTTCCCAGAGACAGGGGCTTCTTTGCCAGTACTTGATATAACTCGGTCACTACATTCTTGGACGAAGGGAAAAAACCAAAAACCCATGTGTATTAATCTATGAGTAAAATTAATCCCGATAAATTGTCCTGTCAGAAACTAATTAATTTTGTTTCACAAACGTGATTAAGCAAAAACCGGCATGTAAATAAATATCTAGTGATGGATTTAGAAACTGTAATTGATGACACTAAGTCTCCGTTTAAATTGAGGGAGTTGAGAGGGAGGGAGAGAAAAGTGTAGGAGAGATCTCTCATCTCTTTTGTTTGGATAAAATTATTAAATAAGAAGGACAGAGAGGGAGATAAGGGGGATGGGCTTCCTCCAAATCCTATCTTTTTAATCCCTCTAATTTAAAAGGATACCATTTATTTGGTTTTCATTTTTTTTACTTTAAAAGAAATTGTAATTAAAATTTAATTAATTTTATAATTATTTTTTTTAATTTATTTAATTAAATAAAAATATAATCATCCTCTCCCTCTCCTTTCTTTTTTTAATTTATCCAGATAAAATTAATATTAATCCTTTACTCTCATTCCCTTCCTCTTCTCTTACCCTCCTCCTTTCTTATTGTCCTTTACTAATTTTTATCTGGACATATCCTAAAAGTTGATCATTGATGACACTAAAGGTTGATCATGAATACCTATAGTTAAGGTTAAACGTCAATTTCAGTCCCTTAACTTTAAGGTTTTATACAGTTTTTGTCTATCAACTTTTTTATATACTTTTTTTTGTTCCTTAACTATAAAAAACACACTTTTATAATCTTTCTGTTAGGTAGTCCATTAAATCTGTCCATATATGTATACTTTTAATCCCTTAACTTTAAGATTTTATATAATTTCATCTCTCAACTTAAAAGTTTAAAGATTAAAAATGTGTATATATGAATAGATTTAACGAACTAATCAATGAAAGGACTAAAAATGTATATTTTTATAGTTGCCAAACCAAAAAAAGTTCATAAAAAGTTAAAAAACAAACCTTATATAAAAGTTTAAAGTTGAGGGACCAAAATTAACATTTAACATATAATTAGCTAGCTAGCCTGTGGTATAATTAATAATAAGGTTTTTTCTGGTTTCATTCCCCATCCCTAGAAAAAGATGATTTTTCGAAAGATTTTCCAAAGATCTTTTGTTTCTGAATTTTCTCCATCAGTCTTGTATTTTTCCATCAACATAAATGTCCTGATCTGAGTGTTTCCATCCTGTAAATTATATACCACTACTTAATATTCATTGTTCAGTAAGTTTCTCCGCTCTTTCTTGATCACGATGTCCAAGCACTCGACCTTCGTCATGATTCATGGTGGCCAAAAAAAAACTACCAACCAGATGCACGATTGGTGCTGCAGCCGTGGCTTTAAAATTAAATATCCATATATACTAGTTCTGATCAACTCAACCATGGTAGCCTCTCTCTCACACATAAGAATCAACAACATTAAATATTATGTTCCTTCGTTCTCGGAAAAGGATAAACATCCTGGTTTATGTTCTGTTTATTATGGTTAATCAATCTTAGTTACTTATTTCCCAGAGAGAGGGGCTTCTTTCCCACTACTTGATATTACTTGGTCACTAAATTCTTGGACGAAAGGAAAAAACAAAAAACCCATGTGTATTAATCTATGAGTAAAATTGAACAAATTTGTCCTGTCAGAAACTTAATTTTGTTTCACAAACGTGATTAAGTAAAACCGGCATGTAAATAAACATCTAGTGATGGGTTTAGAAACCGTCATTGATGACACTAACCCTTAGTTTAGATTGAGGAAATTGGAGGAGAAGAGAGGGAGATGAAGGAAGAGATGCCTTATTGTCGCATTTGAATTATTAATTTTAACAGAAAGGAAGGGAGATGGAGCGAGTTGTAACTCCCTCCACTCCTCTATTTTTAATCTCTCCAAATGAAAGGGATTTATAGAGATTGACTTTATACATTTA